AAGTTCAGGGAAAGATTCTTGGAGAAAGTGGCCTGCAGGATGAGAAGGGCCTGGCAGGTACAGATTTGGGAGGAAGAGCCTGCCCTGAAGGGGAGGTGTTGAATGCTGGCCTCTTGAGGCCTGTAGGAGAAGAGGCCAATGTGGTTGGAGGGGAAAGGACATGAGAGATCAGTGGAAAAAAGATCCAGGGGATGGGGGGTGGGTTACTTTCCCATGTCATTATTACTGTTTTATTTTTAGAATGCTGTTTTTAAAGTCAAGGTATTTACATGTGATACTCATATGGTTATGTGAATTTCCCAGGTCCTTAGAGTTATTATTCCCCTGTGTTAAATCCATCTTCCGCAGTCTCCAGCCCGACTGTATATTGATGATGGCCGCAAGCTGTGTGTAGATTGTGTGTGTGTGTGTGTGTGTGTGTGTGTGTGTGTCTGTATTATCTCCAGTCTTCCTCCTCTTTCAGTCCCAGAGGGAGTGTGTTCCCAAATAAAGTTCTTGGGAATTATCTTACTTTTCGTTAATATTTTATACCGAGGATTAAAGAACCCAGAATTGTTGAGAAATTTCCTTCTTGACCGCTGCTGTTAGATGTGCTTCAAGTATACTGAGGCCTCTGGGACTTGCTCAGAGAACCAGTTTAGTGATAGAATTAGAGTTACTGCTCATGGCTCCAGAATATTCCGTTGTTGCTTACTAGATTGCTGTCTTCATGAGCTGCATAAACAGGAAGTATGATATTTCTCTTTTTATTTTTCAAATGGGATAAACGAGTATAGAAACTATAAATCCTAAATGCATCCCTGACAGTCTCACTGGCCATTCATAGTGGTGTGCCACATAACTCTGCTTTCTGTCACTTTAAATTTATGATCACACACCTCAGATAGGCACTCTGAGAAGCAGGGCAATCCTACCACGCTTTCCTAGTAAGGTCATTTTTCCATATGCAGGCTTGACGACTTCATTTTTCTTCTGCCTACATAGACTTCCTGCTTACCTTCTATTTCCTGCATTCTGGATCAGGCAGAATGGGCTAGATAATGCTGTAGTAACAAACAACCTTCAAATCTCAGTGGCTTCCCCCAGCAATATGTCTTACTCATTCTACATGTCATTTGTGGGTTGGCAGAAAATCACTACCCATGAAAGTAGTAACTCAGGGATCCACGTAGCCACTAGCTGGTGACTATGCCAAAAAAGAGCATTCTGGAGGGTGTGGTTCTCCCTGAAGTGCTCCAGGCTAGAAGTGACAGCCGTCATTTTTCTGGACACAGACAGTCACATGTTTCACCCAACATGAGGGGGCTAGGAAGCATAATTCAACATTGGGTCCAAAAAGCTGGGTGATGGCAGAGGAGTCCAGAACTATCTGGCAAGCAGCCCACGTGACCAGCACACATTCTTAACTAGTGATTTGTTTTGCATTTTCACTGTGAAAAATTGAAGTGCTCCCCTCTCTCTCCCTCTAAAAACTCCCTGAAACTTAGTCATTTGCCTGTTAATCAAGTTTATAGTCCTCTCTGAATTTAGATCTTCTTTCTCCTTCCAGTTTATTCTGATACAGGAAGTATCTTTCTTCCGATCCAAATGTTTTTTGATCATATACTCCTGTCAGTAACAAATTTTAAGCATATACAGTGGGGTCCTACTAAGTGTTTAAGAATGGGCTGTCTGGGAAAAAATAAACCAGCCTCGATTTTTAGTGTTTCCTGATTTCTGTGGTGTAAATACTTCTCCATGGCCAATTTCAGGCTACCAACATGTCACTGAATGTGCAGTTGTGAGGCGATGTACACAGTAGGCTTTCCCAAAGGCATGTAAAGTGACTCCAGCACACTATGGATAGTTATTCATTAAATAGATGTAAGTATTACTTGTATACTGTGTCTTTTATAATAGAGCTCATATTAAATGCTTGTATATGTGTTTATATATCACACACATACATGTACACATATTTTAGTAAAGCTTGATTTTTTTTTTTTTTTTTTTTTTTTTAGATTAAAAACAAAACGGTTCTGCCAGCTTCCCCCCACCAACTCTGGCGGATTGCCGTACAAACCCCACCAGTCATTCACATACTTCCATTGGGAGACTCCTGCTCTGGCCACTCAAGGATTTTGCTCCTGTGGTTAATCACCCCATGTCCTGCAGCATCAGCCTCTTCCCAGGAGTATCCTGGCAAGCTCTGATGTGTCCCCCCGTCTTTCAGTGCTGAAGATGGTCCCCCGATCCAGTGTTGCCCTTCATCAACAACTGTGTTATTCTGTTCCCCTTCAGAGCGTGACCTCTGAGATGGACATTTAAGCACGGCACCTCCACTGCTGCTCTGTCATTCCATCCCCAGCTGACTCTCCTCCGACTCTCATCCCCACCACTCTGCTGAAATCGCTCTTGTCATGGTCATCAGTGACCTCCACGCTGCCACATCTCGGGGGTCATGTCTCTCCTCATCTCACTTGGCCTCCCAGGAGTGGTCGCCTGCTCCGTCCTTGAAGTGCTCCTGTCTTTTCACTTCTGCATTAATACTCTCTCCTAGTTTTCTCCCTCAAAGGTCTCTTTTGCTCCTTTCCTCTGAGACTCAGGAAATGGCCGTGGGCCCCCTTCTGTGTTCATGCTATTTCCCTGGGAGGGCTCATTCATTTCCAGGCCTTTAAAAACCACAGGTGTGCTGACAGCTGCCACCTGGATTTCCAGGTGTGTCTGTGCAGTTGACCACCCCACCTCCCCGCACCACTTCTCATGAAGATTTCGTAGGTATCTTAATGGCTACAGCTCCAAAAGGGAGCTCCTCCTTCCTTCTCATTCTTTCACCTAGCATTCCTGTTTTGTCCCAGTCTTTTTTATTTAAAAGAAAAAGGAGGAGTGCCTGGGTGGTGCAGTTGGTTAAGTGTCCAGCTCTTGGTTTCGGCTCGGGTCATGATCTTGGGCTCCGTACTTAGCTCGGAGTCTGCTTCGGACACTCTCCCTCTGCCCTTCCTGCTTGAGCGTGCACGCATTCTCTCTCTCAAATAGATAGATAAATCTTTTTAAAAAATGGTAAGCTGTTTATTCATTTATTAAATCCAGAAATCTAAGGGTCCTCTGGCCCTGCTTTCCTTTCTTTACCCCTCACATCTAGTCGATAAGCACTGCCTTTTGCTCTGCCTATAAAGTATGTAGTTTACCTGTCCATTTATCTCTCTCTCACATTTAGACCGTCATCTCTTTTCTCCTGGATGGTTGTAATAGCACCTAACAGGATTTCCACTTTCACATTTGCCTCTTTCCAATCTGTGCCCGATATTGTAACTAAGAGTGATTTTTATAAAATGTAAATCAAATTACTCTCCTTCCCTTGGGTCCTCTAGCACACTTTGAGTCAAATCCCGATTCCCTACTTTGACCTCCCAGGCTCTGTGTGGTCCAGCCCCTGCCTTCCCTTCAACCCCACCGCATGTCTCTCTGCCTTTGGCTCTTTTCCTCTAGTAAAACTGGACTTCTTTTTGTCTCCAGAGCAGTCTGGTCTCCCTCCTCAGCACCTTTGTGGTTTTTGGTCCCTTCCCCGGGAAGCTCTCCCCCCAGCTTGTCACGTGGCTGGCATCTCCTTTTCCTGAAGATCTCAGCTTAAATGCCAACTCCTTAGAGAGTCTTCCCTCATCTATGACAGATTTCCCACTGGTTTGTTTCTGTCCTAATACTTAATGCAATTTGAGATCGCTTTTCCTTATTTATTACCTGATCTGGTAGAAAGCTCTGTGAGGGCAGGAACCTTATCTCTGTCTAGTGTTTGGTAGGTGCTCTGCAGACATATATTGAATGAAAAAAAGGTATGAAGGATTAAATGGTCTTGCCCTGTTTATCATATAAATGGTAATCATTGATGAAGATATAGAAGGAATGTGTCTCAAAAATGGTGGGCAGTACAGTACTGAGAAGGTACCAATCAGATTAAACTTTACAGGGGTAAATGTAAAATCCTGTGCTTTGGTTAAAAAAAAAAAAAGTCCATTTCATTGTACAGAATCAGGGAACTCTGGCTTATCACCCATTCATAAGTCTTAGGAGCCAGAAGTGGTGGCTGAATAGGTAATTAAGTCCTCCACTGTGACAATAAATCCATGTATTTCCATATTAGAGGAGGGATCATCTTAAAGTATTCTCCTCCAGTGACACCAGTAGAATGATCACAACTTTCTCAATCACAGTAGAACACCTCATTTATTCACTCCTTTATTCAACATTTGCTGAATACATTCTGGGCTCTAGTATTATCGTTGTAAGCAAAATTCTCCTGGCTCTAGTGTTTGTGGGACTTGGTATCTAATTCCCAACGAGAAGTGATTTCTCCTTCAGTGATAGTATTAGAGCAGACACCAGTTTGTCATTTATTGGGAGGCAGGGCAATCTTGTGGTTCAGACCTCCTGCCTTGGAACCAGACTCGAGCTCAGAGGCTTCAAATCCCAGCCCCACTGGGTATCAGCTATGTGACTGTGGGCAAGTGTTTACATAAATGTCTCTGTGCTTCCAGAATCTCCTTTAGAAACTGGAGACAGTAACAGTACTGTCACATAAAGCTGTGAGCTGTGAAGGAGTCAACGTGTCTAAATCATTGAGAATAATACATGGCACTTAGTAAGCACTTAATAAATAGGTAGTAAGCAGTTAATTAATAAAATTGTGTTGTCTGGAGGGCCAAAGGTTGGAAGACAGATTGAGGGCAGGGAGAAGTGGCTGTAGAGGGAGCCTGGCAGATCAGAGCACAGGATGATGATTATTTTGTTTCTAGTAAAGATGAATGATTTGAGTTGGGACTTGAAAATCTTGACTTGGACAGTCAATGACATTCATTTCACGTAGCCTTCTGTGTGAGGCTGGAGAGATACGGATCCTGTTCAGAAATGCTACCTGACGGTTGTTTCTTTTGCCCCCTCCGAACGCTGACCAAGCATCACAGTTCTGGAAATGAGAAACTCCTAGCTCTCCATGAACACATGTTTTTGCTTTGGTTTTGTTTCAGTGGCAGCTGAAATACCCGAAACTGGTTCTCCGCGAAGCCGGCAGCGTACCTGAGGAGCTCCATAAGGAGGTGCAAGAAGCCTTCCTTACGCTGCACAAGCATGGCTGCTTCTTCCGGGACCTGGTCAGGATCCAAGGCAAGGATTTGCTCACCCCAGTCTCTCGCATCCTCATTGGCAACCCAGGCTGCACCTACAAGTACCTCAACACCAGGCTCTTTACGGTGCCCTGGCCAGTGAAGGGCTCTACTCCGAAATACGACGAGGCGGGTATTGCTGCTGCCTGTCAGACCTTCCTCAAGCTCAACGACTACCTGCAGACAGAGACCAGCCAGGCTTTGGAGGAACTCGCCTGCAAAGAGAAAGCTAATATCGATGCCGTGCCGGTGTGTATAGGTCCAGATTTCCCCAGGGTCGGGCTGGGGTCCTTTGACGGGCAAGACGAGCTGGACATTAAGAACAGAGCCGCATACAACGTCACTCTGTTGAATTTCATGGATCCCCAGAAAATGCCGTACCTGAAGGAGGAGCCTTATTTTGGCATGGGGAAAATGGCCGTGAGCTGGCATCACGATGAAAATCTGGTGGAACGGTCGGCGGTGGCCGTGTACAGTTATAGCTGTGAAGGTACAGTCTGCTCCGTGAAGATGCAGCCCTGAGTGTCACGTGACCTGAGCTGTGGCGGCTGGGGAGGCGTGCGTGTGCGCGAGTGTGTGTGTGTGTGTGTGTGTGTGTGTCCGTGTCCGTACACGGGTGTCGTGACTCCTTCTTAGGTTTGCCACACCCAGGTATCCGCAGAGTGTAGCCCTTTCTCGGCTGCTGGTGCCGTCTAGCTCAGCGTTACACTGTACTCAGACCGAACATTTCCGTGCGTGAGCACTCCTGGCGGCGGGTCCTTCTCATGCCCAGGAGAGCAGCATCTTGGTTTCGCACAGCCAGCTGCCTTTCTGTAAAGCTCAGCATACACCGTACAGTTGCTATAATTAACGTGCTGATAAAGGGCTGGGAAAACAGAAATCTGTCAAATCTTTCCAGGTTCCCACAGGTGCACATTTTCAGTCTTGCCAAAAAACTCTATTGTGGCTGACATCACTGTCTTGATGGGAGTGATTTGTCAAATATGGACTTGTTCTTGGCTTCACACAGATTTGACTACTGTCCTTCCTTGCCAGAAACCGTTGAAGTGGGTTCTGTAAGCAGACAGTCCTCTGTTTTTAGGAAACTCTCCAGCCACCCCCATCAGCTCTGCAGTTTTAGGCCTAAAAGGGGTGCTGTGGGCGAACTTGTTCTCAGAGTTTCTGAAATCTGGCCCCTTTGGAACAGAGATCATAGGCTACCTTTTTGTGGCCTCCTGGAACTTTACTTCTTCTGTTGCTCAGTTTCTGTGTGTTTAGGGTGTCCATTGTTTCTCAGCCCAGGGTTATAAAAAGACAGTTGAACACATCCAGGACAGTGTGACCATTGCTGACTTTGTTCTTTGCCTGATCATTTGACAAAGGAATACAAGACACAGTATTAGCTCTTTTGTCTATTTGTCTCTTCTACCTGTTTATTGAAAGATGCTTGGAAAACCAGAGTTCTAGACATCCCATCAGGGAACGAACTGGAACTTTTAAGGGTCATTGCCTTCTGAAAACTTCTTTTAATTGGTTGTCATTATCGCTTTGTATGCTTTTTGTTTACTAAAATGACTGCTTTATAAAAGGGATTTTAAAAAGGAATTTCTCATGATTCTCTTTAAATTTCTTCCCATTTCCCCATCTTGGACATTTCGTCAGGACAGCTAAAATATCTTCTAGCTTTACCTCACGTCTTCAGCCCGGAACAGGGAACTTAGCTTAGTGGTGAAATTTCACCAGTTTCCCTGGCATCTCAAATAATGATGCTGACCTAAGAAAATTGCTTGGAGGGGATTTGATGCTGTCCTAATGGAAAGAACTGAGATCCTCTGATCTTTACTAAGGCGTTGCCAGGGATTTAAGAACGATCACATCCAAGAACTCTGATGTTAAGGAACAATGGATCCAGTTTGTTAGTTTCCTTCTGAAGGAGGCAACTCTCTGAAGCTGAGGCCGTTGAGGCCGTGGTATGTGATAGCTCAAACTGCTACAAAGATGTCTTTGTGCTCCCACCTCCTCTCAGCCCTACAGTTTAGTAGTCCTTTTGTACTCTCAGAGCGTGGGCGATCAAGTCTTTTTTGAAACCTAGAATATCGTTCAGAAAGGCATTTAAATTTTGAATGAATGGTTTCTGTGGTTGGCAGTAGTTAAGACTGATAGAGTATACAAGTATACATAAATACGTAAAGGTTTATCCTTGCAACTGTCATCTGGAGGAGGGAACTGCAGAATTAGAATCTGTAAGAGCAGCGTGATTCCTTTGTTCTCTTAGAACAAATCCCAGAGAATCCCAGAACTCTATCTAATAATAATAACTGCAATGCTGGGAGCTCTCATTTACTGAGCACCTACTGTGTGCTGGGTGTTGGTATAAGCATTTTACATGTATTAACCCGTTTTATTTTTATAACAGCCCTATCAATGAAGTGCTGCTATTCTCATTTTACAGTTGAGAACACCGAGGCCCAGAGGGTTGATTAACTTTCCCGTGGATATACAGCTACTAATCAGCAGAGGAGGGATTTGAACCCAGACATTCTGGCTTCAGAGTCCTAACAGCTATGAGTAGATGTTTCCTATTCTTGCAGTATAGTTCCCTCTGGGATTTGGGTTTTTAAAATGTCCCCCTCTGGAAAGGTGAAGGGAATGTTCTCCTTCTTCTCCTCAGCAGGTCTTGTATTCTCTCCTCTTCTGCCTGCCACCTTGCTTTTCTCCCCCTGCAACATCTGCTTGTAGCTTCCTACACATGCTCTCAGGTGATTGGAATGCATTAGATAAGCTTATTCTATGAAATGGAACCTCTCTCTAGGCCTCCAGTTGTGTGTGTGATGTTGAGTCAGATGGTTTACAAAGCATGTGCCTTGAAACTTTTGGGTGGGTGCATTTCTTCCAGGTGACAAGTGGTATGTTTACCTCTCTGGCCTCTCTGTAATTCTGCCAGAGGTATGGTAAGGGTGGCCTCGAAGAGAGCCATTTGGGTCACAGTCACGGTCGGGCTTAGGAAGGGTTGAAGGTGGTGAAGAGAATGGGAATTTCAGATGACGGCACTGTTTTCAGAGTCCCTGAATGCGTTCGCTGAGCAGTTGCTAAGGGAAATTCAGTTGGCTGTTCTAGACAGTAGGGAGGCTCCAGAGGTAAATCAAATTCCCATGCTTGCCTTGAAAGGATGGGTAAAGTGTGCTTCTGTGATTATAATTATGCCATCAGGAAATGTGAGATCTGGAGGAGACTTGAAATCACCTTGTTCAAGCATCTCATTTTACAGATGAAGACACTCAGGCGGGGAGAATGGCAGTGACTTGTTCAAGGTCACATAGTTCCCTAGCGACAGAAAAGTGTTATGTGCCACAAAGAGTTCATGTAAAATGCACTGAGAGTTCAGAACAGAAGAGATTACTTCCTGCTGAAATTAAATTCAGGTGAAGCTTAAGATCCTTCAGGACTTTGCTCTCAATACCTTTTCCCAGTGAAATCTTTCTGTAGATTTATAATGAGCCAGTCATCCCTCTTTGGTTTATTTCTGTGAGTAGAGGTCATTGAGAAGTAATTTGTATAGGATACGTGTAATTATATACTAAATTCATTGGCTTCACAAGCAGTGCTAGTTAATAGATATCCCCCGTAAGAAGATTGAAATGGTACAACATTTAATCAGGAATGGCTTCAGGGAATCGTGTGTAAATTGGCAGAGTATTGGATTTCCTATGCTAGCTTTGCTGGCAATTGCTTGTTACTCCTAGATGTTAAAAACAAACAACCCCCCCCCCCAAAATGCCGAACATATGTACATATACATGCACAAATTTTATCAGGGAAGGCATTAACAACTCATTGCTTAATGTAGTCCTACACTTTGTTCTCTGACTGGAATAGCTTCAAAAGGATCAGGTAAATAATTATTGGTTACTGTTTTTCGTACATTTGGAAGGATACATTTTCTGCAACATTGTCTTTATAGGAAAGACAATTCTTAAAAATTTTAACTAGTGCCAAATATTGCAGATTCTTGATATTATTTTCCAGATTTCCTAGGAAGGGCAAAGGAGGAAAGGGGAGAGAGGCCAATCCATGATTCCTGCTGAGTATGTGATAAGAAAGCAGGGACTTTGTAATAATTTTCTTGGAATTCTAGGACTCCCATTTCATGTCTTTGACTCAGGAAAAGTTGAATTCTTTTAAGGATAGAAATTCATTACCATACTTTACTTTGACTTTGAAGTGAGTAGCTTCATATTCCTTAGCTCATCTTTGAAAGCATGAAAGGTTAGATCGTAACTGCAGCTAGGGGGTGGGAGCATTCATAATTTTTAAAAATGCTGTGATATTTAATGTTTTCCTACGTCTCCCCGGCATCCCTGTCTGAGGTCTCAAAGCTCATTTGACTTTGTTTCATTTTTTCATGCCATGTGCTGTTAATTTTTTTTTAAGATTTATTTATTTATTTTAGAAAGCGAAGCGGGGAGGGGCGGAGGGAGAGGGAGAGAGAGAAACTGAAGCAGTCTCTCCACTGAGTGTGGAGCCCAACTGACGTGGGGCTCCACCTCATAACCCTGAGATCATGACCTGAACTGAAATCAGCAGTTGGATGCCCAACCGACTGAGCCACCCAGGTGCCCCTGTTATTTGTGAAGTCACTTACTTTGTTCAGTAAAACCTGTTTGGTGGTCTAAGTCACATTTAATCCCCATGGAATTATATATGCATTGAACAGTAAGCAGCCACTTTTTGCCAAGTGCTCTTCTAGATGCTGAGCATATAGCCACGAACAAAAATCCCTGCCCTCACAGAGCTTATGTTTTAGCAAGGAGAGACAGCAAACAAACAAACAAGAAGGTTGTACACAAAGGGGATGCACAGGTGTACAGTTTTAAATAGGAAAGTAGGCTTCCTTTTGAAGGTCATGTTTGAGCTAAGACTGGAAGGAGAGAGTGAGCGGGAGGGGACCAGCCTTGTGGGGTAGAGGGAATATGGGAGGCCCAGCGATGGGACATGATGTTGAGATGTTTCAGAAGCAGCAAGCACGGATCGAATTGAGTGAGAGAAGAGGGGGAACAACAGCAATGAAGACAGAGAGGAAAGACTAGGGGTGCAGAGTGGGCAGAAGCTATTACAGAAGCAATACTTTAACAGAAGGGCCTCGGCTCATCCGGGGCATGGCGTGAGATAGGAGCCGTTGTGGTTTCTAGTGGAAGAAGGGAGGCAGCGCTGGAAGCAGGACAAGGAGGCTCTTGTAGTAATCCAGAGTAGAGAGGGTGGGCCAGATTAGAAGAGGCGGAGGCGATGAGGAATGTTCGTACGATGTCATGTTAAGTGCTGGTGAGAGAAGAAGACCCGTAGTGCCATCTCCCAATTGTCAAGGGAAGGCCAGCCAAGGAGAACGGCTGATTCCTCCCCTCCCCCAATAGTTTCCTTGTGGTATAACTTACATACAACAAACTGCACATATTTAAAGTTTACAGTTTCATGAGTTTTAACACACCTGTGAAAACACGACCATAATCAAGATAG